TCCAGACAAAGTTCTAGTACAAAAGAAGTACACAGTTCCACAAGGGGTTGGTATGTTCGGATACCAACCTGAACCAGAAGAACTTCCAATGAGGTTGCAAGAACTTCAAGATGCTATAAACAAACTTCCATTGAGACATCCAATTGACGTCAAATTGTATTGGAGAGCATCTGAGTTAGGTCAGAAGGTTTTATATGAAACAGGTTGCTTCGACGATGTTTATGAGATAACAGGAGAAGTTTCTCAGAAGATAAGAGACTCACTTGAATTTCCACAAACTGGTCCGATTGGATGCGACAAGTTCGACTCATACGAAAAGATATACTATGTCGACCTTAACGCTGCGTACATGAGGTTTGTCCAATATATTCCGACTGGAATTCCAAACGAAGATGGTGAGTTCCCGGGAAGGAACTATACAGTTGGAAAAGTCATACAACAACTGTATGATATTAGGAAAGCTTCAAACCCCAAACTTGCAATGACACTCAAATTGCTTATGAATTCGACATGGGGATATTCCATTAAGAAACCTCAAGAGATGAAGAGTAAACATTATGAGAAGGTCGACAACTTTGTTGAAAGGTTTTCTCCTTTTGTTTTGAAGTACGAATTCACTCAAGGTCAAAGTGGCTTAGTAACCACATTAAAACCTATTGTCGAACATTGGTCTTACCCTCAGTTCGCAAAGGCAGTCCTTGACAACTACAATGAGTTCTTCTCGGAAGTCAAATCGAAAGTCAAGGTTTACTATGAGAACATTGACGCACTCATGACGAACGAAGAAGGCTATAACAAACTCATTGAAATGGGTTTAGTCGGTGAGAAGATGGGTCAATTCAAATTGGACAAAATTTTCACCGAAGTTCATGTCCTCTCCAAGCGTAAGTACTGGGGTGTTAAAGAAGATGGTGAAATAGTTAAACATTGCATGAAATAAAAAATTTTTATTCGAATTTGAATTAAAATGTGGGAATTCTTGGGAACGGGAAAGGCTTATTTACTTGAGGAACAGGTAAAGGTGGTGGAGGTGGAGGTGGTGGCAACCAGTCCATTTTATATTCCTTCCTAGCTAATTTCCGTTTAATTTCATGGTCGCCCTCGGAGTCTTTGAATCGGACAGGTCGAGTTACACCATTCTTGGTCTCAAACTCATATATAACCTGTTTGTCTGTATTTTCGTCGACTATGGCACGAGACACGAACATTGACCAAACGGACAAAAAGTGTCATTTCGGATGGTCAAGCAGCCAATCGCATTCGAGCACTTCGAAGAAGCCTTACGTTCCAAGGGAGAGGGTGTCTGGTGCAAGGCAGAGGTCATGAAACTCTACGAGCAGTACATCCTCAATGCCTGGGAGGACAAATCGTCCTTAGATTGGCAATTCTACCAACTCCTCTGGACGACCTCCTACGCAACTGGGATAACGAAAGAGCCCAATTCAAAGGTCGGAGCTAATTTTCCAAATTACCATTAATAGTGCCTACTTATCCAACTAAACACTTAAATTTACTTGGTTTTCCCCCTAAAATAATTTTTTTACTCTTAGAACCACTCGAGGTTCTCCTTACGGTGTTGAGCTTGTCACCGTCAATGTGTCTGACCTTCGTCTTCTTGCCTGGATTTGGAAACCCATTGAATTGCGACAAGCTTGCCCATGGAGATTGAACCGCGATTCCGAAGGTTAAGGTTCAAGTGTCCCAAGTTGTTTGAGGACTGGGGTAAGAACCTTGCCTGTCTCCTTGTTGCGGATTTGGTATGGGTAGGGTTGGGAAATTTCGTAACCGTCATCGCAACAAGGGTTGCCCATGTAGCGGCTTCAGGAAACTTCTTCGTGTTTCTCTTCTTCCTCTTCTTCCTCGACAATTCCTTCTTCAATTTGGTACTCACGAAGTACGGTATTGCATGTTCTGTCCTTTCCGAGTACCTTCCAGATGGCGTCTATCTCTTCGAAGAAACGGTAGATGAGTCTGGCAAAGTCTCGGTTCTCTCTCTCGTAATTGCGCAACGATTCTGAGAAATCGTTCAGGCATTTCTCATTGGAAGCTTGGTTCATGAGGACATCGGCTTTGAGATTGGTCATCTCTGTCATAAGACTACTTTGGAGAGTCTTAATGGTGTTTGTCAGATGAGCTTTCAATTGGGCAATTTGAATTTGAACTGGGCGCTTGTCTGGCAACCTTGAAAGGACATCTGCTATTGTGTTCGGCTTCGGTGCTTGTTCGGACATCGAAAAAATGAAGTGGTTTGAGAATGGCGGTTTTACTTCAAAAAGCTTGTTATGACAGTTATGTCATACAACAAGTTTAAAATAATATCTTGTTCTTCTTCTGAACGTTTGTTGTCTCTTCCGATAAAAGTTTCGAACATGAGAACCAAAAAACGTTTTTGAGATTGCGGAAGAGTTCAGGCAAACGTTCATATTCTGGATATGTTGGGAGCAGTTCAAAACATCTAGCTGACTTTCGGACAAAATTGGGACAATGTCAGAAAATTCATCTTTGGTCGGACTGCTTGAAGGTAAGTCCCTTACATGTAAGTAGCTCTGGTAAAGTCTTCTCATTTCTGCTAACTTCTGGAGTATAGCTTCGTAATTTAAGAGTTTTAATTTTAATTGTCTTATTCCTCTCTTGACATCTAAACGGTAAGTATCCATGAGGTCAAGAGTAGCTTTGGTAGCTTTAAGTGGAGCTATCTGTTCCTTGACTTCTGCAATTTTGGTTGCAATTGTGGTTTGAGCTCCTTCAAGTTCGCCGTCTATGTCGTTCTCAACACCTTCAACCATAGCTTGAAACTCTTCATCGGTCCATTGAGTTTGGTGTGGGACGAATTTAACTTGCTTCATTCAAAAAATGAAAAAAAATGTTTTTACTCTAAACATGCCATGCATATGGCTATAAGAAACCTACCAGAAGGCTTCTTCTTCACACGAGTAAAAACATAAAAAAGTGAGTTAAAATGAGATGTTTACTGAATTGGTTGGATGTCGCCTTCACAGGTTATGTAGAACGGCTGACCAGAGAAGTGAAGGAGACCCCTGAGAATTTGGTTCATTCTTGGGAAAGGGTTCTCTCTGTTTGGAAGTAGTATCCAAGGACGCTTGGCAAAGAACTTTATAATGGCTTCCTTCTTTGCTTGCTTTATGTCGTCGAAGGCTGTCCCGTCTGGTATTTGAATTGGAATTCCAGTCGAAGTCTCGAGATTCAAGGCAGCCCTTCCCGTTATCCAACCGTTAACGAGCTTGCCTTTTACATTCTGCCTGAGGAAGTCTTTAACAAGCTCGTTAATTTCAATTAGGTAAATTGCCTCGTCGGTAGGTTCGACCTCGACCATTGCTACTGTCAGTAAAAGTACTGCTACTGTCAGAAAAAGTACTGCTACTGTCAGTAAAAGTACTGCTACTGTCAGTAAAAGTACTGCTAGGAGCAGAAAAAAAAGGAAAATTTGAGAGGGTTTTCGACGATAAAGTACTGCTACTGTCAGTAAAAGTACTGCTACTATCAGTAAAAGTACTGCTACTATCAGTAAAAGTACTGCTACTGTCAGTAAAAGTACTGCTACTGTCAGTAAAAGTACTGCTAGTAGCAGAGATTTTTATCGTTGTGGTCCGACGGTTAAGCCACAAACGAATGTCCGACGTCCCACCAACCGAGTCCATTCCCAAACCAGAGGAACCTAAAGAACCACAACAGTCTCCTCAGCAACCTCAGTTCCAGCAAGTACCTCCGAATTACTACCAATTTCCACCTCAAGGTTACTACCCACCACAAGGCTTCCCGAACTACCCTCCTCAGCCTATGCCTTACTTCCCCAACCCTTGGTTGTTTATGCAAGCTCCACCCCAGCAATTCCAATTCCAATCTCAATCGAAGAGAGACCAAGACTTCGAAGAAGGTCTGAACCGTTTACGCAAAGAGTATGCTACAGCTCCAATGGAAGATGACAGGCTTTCAGTCTCTTCCCTAAGGTCGACCAATTCGACTCGTACCACAGATTCGGTTCGTGACCGTGAAGACTACCTCAAGCAGTCTGAGAGACTCTTCATCTTACAGCCATTTACAGCTGGAGCTCTCAAGAACATGCGCAATTACGAAGGTCAGACACCAGCTGGAGACCGCAAAACAGACGTACTCGCAAGAGCCGTCCAGCTCGTCAAAACAAAGACTGAGATAGTCGACTTCATTCTTGCAGCTTGCCCTTACAAGTAAAAAAATAAACAATTACGAATTAAACTTTTTACTCTTTCTTTTCTGAGTTGTTTAGAGCTGGTTTCTCTTGTAGAAACCTTTCGTACTCTTCCATGGTCATGTAATTGCGAATTTGGTACGCAATTCCAGGTTCGTTGTTTTTGAACCTTATGTATGTAACGCTTCCATCCTCCTCAGGGAAGTAAGCTGCTAACATCTGACCAAGTTTTCTCGGTGACTCGGAGCTCATTAAAAATGTCACTTTTTAAACGTTAAGTTTTTAGTCTTATTTTACCCTTTGTTTGTCAAGGTAGTATTGGAGCGCAATTTCTCCAAATTCTCTGTGTCGGAGTTCTTCAGCATTTTCCAAGGTGTACCTGGAGAACTCAAAGAAGTTGTCAAGAACATACTGCCATGCTGCTCTTCTGAGTTCGTCGGTATTTTGGAAGTGTTGCACCTTCGAGTCTTCGGACATGAAAAAATGACACTTTTTCTATTAAACCGTTTTGGCATTTCTCATGAGTGAGTATAGTTCTGCCGAACCATTGGAAGAGAAGAAGTACCCTTGCTGGCAAAAGAAAAAATAGTTGCCTTAGTTGTCATTGCAATTGTACTCGTAATTGAATTCATTGTACTTCTCTTCACGTACATAAAACTCAGCAATGGTATTTGCTTTAAGAAGCTACCATCTTACTAAGACTAAACATTATTTTTATTGAATTCAGCACAAAAATCATGAATTTCCTTAAGATAGAAAAAATAAAGTTAGTTTTATTTTTATTTATTTTTTTATTTTGTATGTAAAGACAGATATGTCAACAACAGAGAACACAACAACAGTTATAGTCCATGAAGCTATAAATGAAGAATACGAGTACATACAGTTTAACAAACAGTTACGTCTCATTCGTTCGGTCAAAGACGATCTCGTAGTCGCAAAAACTCGAGTGGGAGAAAAACCCCAGTCGCCAAAACTCTATGAAAATCGTGAAAAATTGCCAAACGGTTTGAGAGGATATTATGTACATAGACTTCTTGTAAATGCTGTTGCAATGTGGGCTTCGCCTCGTTATGCTTGGTATATTTACAGACTTCTTGACGAAATTCATAGACAAGAACGTGAAGAGATGGAAAAGAAACTTCAAGCAAAAGACAAAAGCATTCAGAAAAGAATACCACGTTCGGTACCAAAAGGAAAGGAAAAGAACTATAAGTATATGATTTATACTGAAGAGATGGAAAATGAAGAAGATAAAGATATGGTTATGTTGCATTTAGTCAGAAGAAACAACAAAAGCTTTTACGACCTTGCTAAGATTTACAAATCTGACAGAAATTGGTTCTATCGCGAAAACTTACCGATTTCAATGACCCCAAATGAAGATGTGAAACAAATAGTTCAAGCTACGTTACCTCAAACACACTATGATATGAAAGGTTGTACAATACTTACCTTCAAAGAAGACTTACCGCTACTGAAAGAAAAAATAACAGAGTATTTTGACAACTTCAAACAAGCAGAGTAAATGAACTCTTTATTTTTATTGACTTTTTACAATTTGAACTTTGTTTGCGTAGATATGAATTCTGAAAGAAGTATGAGGGTCTTGTATGACTTTGTACTTCTCCCATCGTTCATGTCTGTCAAACTTACCTGCCATGGACTCTTTCATAAGTTCCATGAAATCGTCTTCGGACAATCCGGGGAAAAGTATAATGTCAGTAAGTATTCTCTTTACATCCTTACTTAAACTCTTGGCTGTCTGTACACATATTACGACTGAGATGTTAAAGTGTCTGAGCTTCTTAAGAATTCGACACATATCTTGTTCTCTGTTCTTTAACAAAGGATGAGAGGCGAAATCATCTAAAATAAGAAGACATCTATGAGGGTAAGTCTTCCAATCGTAAGATTGCAATTTCTTCGAAATGTATTCTATCTCTTTCTGTTTGTTTCTGAAGTGTTTCTTCTCTAATATTCTCTGCATTTCCTCATTTGGGTCTTTAAACTTAGAATTTATATACTCATTTATAGCATTATACTTCAAAACTCTTCTTTGGTACTTCTTTATCCAATCTAACAACTCAGTATCCTTTATACATACTAACTTAGACTTCTTTATAATATCTTTGAACGAATTGACGGTTTGGTCAAATTGACCAGAAGTCGAACAAATAACAACTAACTCATAGAATGGGTTCTTCTCATCTAGTTCTTGTTGTTGTGCAGCCATTTTAAGATAAGTGAAAGTCTTACCAGACCCAGGTGGTGCAATTAGACCTGTTATACCATTCTGAGCAAATAAGAACTTGTCATGTATAGGTTTTATCTGAGCATTTTCTAACTTCACCTTGTTCTTATTTAAAACATTCTCAAATTTTTTGTCAATGTCAGCAAACTTTTTTTCTAACATATTTTTAGAAAAATTAAAATTTTTATCTTTTAGAAAATGTCTAGCGATTTCGCCATCTATATTCGAGACAAACTTTTTGACAGCAAAACATCTGTCGACCATAAAATCTTACATAGTGTAAACAAGAAAGGTGAATTTGTTCTAAAGTTCTGTTTCTGGGAATATGACAAGAACCATAAAACATTAAGCAGAGCAGTCTTAAAATTTGTCAATGACAGACTTGTTGACAGAGATGACGCCGATTGGAAAGATGAAGTCCAACAAAAGTTCTTAGAATGCAAAGAAGACACATACGGTGTTCTTGAAGATGAAATAGAAAACAGAATAGATGAGCTATTAAAGGACAAAGAACTTTTACATAAATATGGTTGCGCCAAATTTGACATAACTCCACCAGAAAAGAAGAAGAAAGAAAAGAAAGAAAAGAAAGTAGAAGAAGAGAAGAAAGAACCTGAACCAGTTCCAGAGAAAAAGAAATTTGACATGTAAAAATAAAATTTTATTTTTAGAACATTTCTGGGTCAATGTCAATGTTCTCTTCCTCTTTAGGAGTAAACACTGGCTTAGACTCTAAAATCTTTTTACCCAATTTACCTTGAACTTCTACAACTTTAGACTCATAATATTCATAGTCGTCTGTCTTCTTTGGTTCATAAGGTATAACAAGTTTGTATGCTTTGCCTTCTTTAAGGTTTGAGAACCTTCTGTCAAAACTTTCTTTGACTGTTAACAAACCTTCTATGTCTAAGTCTTCAAATTTCGCACCATTTTTAGTCACAATAGCAAACTTAACTGGTTCGATGTTCCAAACTTTGCTGAATGAAGACTTTTCAAAATGGTAGAAGTAAACATTCAAATATGTGAATGGGTCTAGTTCTTCTTTAAGTCCTGACATGTACTTATTTACTGAGATGAATTTCGTCATCTTTTCTATCGGATAAAAAAATATTTTTTTTAAAATTTACTCAGAAAAAATTTTCTTTGTATATACACCATTCTGAACATCTAAAAGACTTTTGACATTTGCCAAGAATGTACGTTTAGAAGCTGCCATATAACCATACTCTTGACAATATTGTTTATATTCATCATATAAAGACTTTTCATCTAAACACTCAAAGTCAGTTTCATCTATGAACAGTTCATATACACTCTTGTTTGCTTCTAACAATGTTTGTCTCTCTTCGGTATGTGGAATTTGTCTTGGATTGAACTTAGAAATATCTAATGTCATGAAATATGAGAACAAGTGGTTGTAAAAGTCAGATGTCAAAGTTTCTGCTAAGTGTCAAAATATTCTGTATCTTGCATATGAGAATCTGACGTTCTGACAACTACATATCTTCTGTCAGAACTTTCTAACTTCATCGGAACAACATTGTTTGAAACCATAATGAAGTTTGCAACATTTTCACAAACTCTTTGGTCTTTATACTTTCTTTCAACAACTCCAACTTTGTCTGTTATAAGACTCTTCAAAGCATCTGAGTTCAAAACTTTTGTTGTATCTATACTTTGAAGTTCATTGCAAACTATAAGTTTTCATATTCTCTATTGAGGAGTTAAACTTGCCACAGATGTTTTCTAAGTTTGTCATATTAGGGTTCGAATAACCTTCTAACAGTTTGCACAAAAATATCTGTAAAGAAAGTATTCTTACCAGTTCCTTGTTTTCCAATTATAATGAGAGCAGTTTCATTTTTAGCACTTGGATGTTGTAAGATTTGCAAACCAACATAAGATATACTCATAGACTCTTTCGTTTCCATTGCATATAATTTCTTTGACATGGTCTAACCAAGCTTCTATAACATTTTCTTTTCCATTCTACTTGTTCGTATTTATATCCAGTGAAGATAGAATAGAAGTTTGGAGAAGGTGTATAGAACTTTATACCTCGAACTGAAAAATCTTCTAACTTTGACAATAAGATATCCCAAGCATCTAACATCTTCATTCCAACTTGTACAACTTTTATTTTCTTAAGTTTCTGTCTACATTCTTGTTCAGACACTATTGTTGCTCTTGGTTTGTTAAAGACATCCCATTCTTTCATGACATAACATTCTGGGGCAGAGTCAACATAAATGACTAAACGTTTCAAATTCTCGACTGCTTTGTTATAGTCTCTAAATGGACACATATTTCTGAATGCTTGGAAGTCATAAAAATCTGAAACATCTATTCTGTACATTTTTATAAAAATAAAAAAAAATATTATTTTTTTATTCTTGACTTTGTTGTTGCATTTGTTGTTCTTGAGCTATTTGTTGTTGAAGTTGTTCTTGTAATACAATACTTTCACCAGTTGCATCTTCCAATTCGAAACTTTCTGCCGTCATTGACAAATACATAGGACATAAAAGTTTTACAGGAACAAAGTTTGCGTCAACTAATGTCAACGTTATACTTGCCAAAGTGTTTGAGTTCACTAAGGTTGAAAATTCTGCATTCGAATGAACAATAGGCAAACCAGCAGAGAAAGTATTGTTTATACGCATAAGTATCTTTTGGTCATAATAGTTTCTGTCGACATTCGAATAACACTTTGAACCTAAGTTTGAAACAATATATAAGATTGGTGTGCTTAATGTCAATGGAATAGACATTCCTTGTATGACACCTTTTCCTGTTATAGGAAACTGTTGGTAGTAAAAACCAGATATAAGTTTTGTATTATAGCTCATATCGTTTATAGTAAACTCAGTCGGACATCCAAACATAATGAAACCTGCTCTAGTTGCAGCACATGTTACACCGTACTTAAAGTATTAAATAAGTCAACAAAACCTGTTGGTGTATATCTGAGTAAGTATCTTCAAAGGAGTATTTTTTACCATTCACAACAATAAAGTCTTCTGGTGTCAAAAGAGCAAAACAGGCTTTAGTCGTCATTGTGTTTAAGGTTAGTTTACAATATCGTCCTTGAGGACTTTGTAAGTTTGTTGTTATAGAATTATATGACTCAGGGTTTTTAGTCGTAATAGTATAAACCATTATGTCTTCTGCCATTTACTTAGCAAATAAATTTTAATGAAATGTTGTGGTCGTCAAATATTTTTATAACGTCTGGGAAACTATATTTTAAGTTCAACGTTTCACCTCCTTTCATAACGTATATCTTGTCAATGGCATTATATGAAACACCACAGCAACTAATGTCGGGTTCTATTTCTTTGATGTTTATATCGTCTGCCTCTGTCAAAAGTTTCAATAGTTCTTTCAAAACTTCATGAGGTGCAATGACATATGAGTTCACTTTTACAGGGTTGTGTTCGACCAAGTTTAACATTATACTTAAAGCTTGACAAATCTTCTCCTGAGTTTGAAGTTTGTCTTTCAGTTGTTGGTAGTCGTTTCGAATATCTGCAACAGAACTTAAGTCTCTGCTAACTTCAGGATATGTTGGTTCTTTTACAGGAACAATTGTTATACCATCTTCGTCTTCGTATGGTTTCCCCACTTCAACATCTCTGTCTTTGACATTGACAACAACACTTTGACTGTTTGTTTGAGTTGGTGAATTTAACTTCACATCTGCCACCGCCATTAAACCTTTTGAAACACTTATGCTTCTATTTTTCGGAAATGACATTTTACTTAGAATAAAAAGATGGACGTATTCGGATATCTTATTGAATTGAAGCAGAACAAAGTTTATACTCACAAACAATACAAATACATTGACAGAATAGTTCTTTACACAAACAATGGAAAATGTTATAGAATAGCAGTCTTTGCTGAACCTAAATATTTTCATAAAGCAAAGAAAGTTGGTATAACTGAAATGGTGAAAGTTCTTGAAGCAGACAAAAATATAACTTCAAAACTGACCGATATTACTAAAGGAAAGTTTATAATACAATATTATGTCAAAACTGGCGTACTGTCAATATTTGACGGAGAGAAGTCAGTTCAAGAACAACTTAGTGACCTGCTGCCAAAATCTGCTCGATGGAAGCTGTCGTTATGCCAATCTGAGGAGCCCCAGCAGGTTTCATCGAACGAATCTTCAAAAGAGCATCTTCCGTGAAAAGTGCTATTGGTTTTGTAAACTTCTTTACTCTCAATTCATCTGGACCGTCTCTGTCACCAGTATATTGTATTTGAAC